ATGAGCAAGTCATAGGTGACTCATAGCGAGTGTTGATGGTACATTTCTTTAGGTGTCCCAGTAAGACAGTATGACATTAACAGCACAATAAAGGGTTAAATGTGATTGGTTGATCATTCATTTCTTATATAGACCTGTGATTTCTGTCCTCTCTTTATCCAATATGAAAAAGCCCACTGTAAAGATTCTCTACAGAATGCATAAAAAATATTGTAAAACAGACCGTCTACAGTAACAGGAAGAAAACAGTAAAGAGTAAAAATACATAGGCATAGAATAAGCAGCAGAGTTAAACGTTAACAAAATGATTCACACAGTCACTGGCCACCTAGTTAGGTGTACCTGTTCAACTGCTTGTTAAGGCAAAGAGCTAATACATAGCTCACATAGCAAAACAGGATTGTTTAAGCATGTAGACATGTTCAAGACAAGTTCAAGTTCAAACCGAGCATCAGAATGGGGAAGCGAGGTGACTTAAGAGAGTTCGAATGTGGCGTGTTTGTATTTCACAAATTGTAATCTACTGGGATTTTAACACAGCCTTGTCTTTTTTTTTTACAGAATGTCTGAAATGAGAAAAAATATGTGTGAGCAGCAGGTCTTTGGACCACGTTGATGCTAGAGGTCAGAGTAGATTAGCTAAAGGAAACAGTAACTCAAATAAAGACTCATCACAACCAAAGTATGCAGAAGAGCATCTCTGAAGACACCAAACCCAAACCTTCAAGCAGATGGGCAGAAGACCACATGTGCCACTCCTGTTAACTAAGAATGGGAAAGTCTACAACAGAAGACAGGAAAAATGTTGCCTGAGCCTTAATTTCTGCTGTGACATTTGGATGGCTATGTCAAAACCTGGCATAACAACTCGGATCCATCCTGGAATTATTGGAACAACATTCTTTTCTGTCATTATCTGAAACGTCACACTCAGATCTTACAACATTCCCAGAAACATCAGGAACAGATTCAGTATCTTCCTGCCATATGATGCATTTACCACTAATGCAACCTGGAGGCTTTGCATTAATTACTCTCTGGAATAGGTGAGGTTCACTATAAACATTCATTTCATCAGTAATAGTTCAGACTTTTCATAAAAAGTGCATATTTTAAATAGTGACATCAGTGTGATATCATCAGGACTCGCTGTATTCTGAGGAGCTCCACCTTCATAGGTTACGTTACAGTGTTTATAGATGTTTATAGATATATTCAGATAGATGAATGGATTTGCATGTGTAAAGCCAGTGGTCGTGACGTTGGCACTGGAGTAAATTACCTTCCACTGCAGCAAGCCTGAGATGCACTCTCACACACACACACACACATTTCACGGACACCCATTAGAAATGTAGCTTCCAAGAAACCAAGTGATGATATCTAATAAGAAGTTTTGCCCACCTCTTTCTGTCTTTTCTTCCTCTTTGATCTCTCCACCTCCCTCGCCGTGTCTTTCTTCTCATAAGCCTCAAACTATCCGTCCCGCTTTCCCCTCCACCCACCGCCCCCTCCTCACCACCCCGCCTTTACTCTGCTGCTCCCTCTCGCTCTCCCCACCCCGCGAATCTCTAGCATGTTATTTAAGCCAAGGACAACATTAGCATGACGATCACAGCCTTCTATCACAAGTCTTGTCTGACAAGACAAGAGGAGGAGGAGGAGGGGGGTAGAGCTACTAAACGTGTGGGGAGTAAGGGAGGAAGCCAAAGGCATATAAACGGTATAACATGGTCTGAGAGAAATCAAAGACATTCTTGATTAAGTAAGACAAAGTAATACAAGTCTCTACACACCAGAGGAACATTGTTTACGTGCCATACGTTGTTAGATCTACATGAGAGATAGCAAAAGATAACAGCAATTTTGACATGTGTTAAGAGACAGGCTTACAAAGAGACTCACAAATCATGCCCCTGTACATATGTACACGATACAAGCCCCTCAGTAAAATCTAATTGTACTGCATGTATGGTTTCCGTACCATACACGAAGCATATTTCTTTGCAGCGGCACATAAGCATTTCTCTTCACATCTCCCACTCTTCTTCTTTGGCTAATACTCCTACTTATAGGCCTATTTATTACAACAGGAAATTAAAACACTGTTAATTGTATCATAAACACACATCTGTGTTGCTAAAATCAGATTAATTTTTAATGAAACAGCTGCCTCCCCGGGCCAATTTCTCCCTTTGCCAAACCTCCATGGCCTCACCTACCACGGCCTTCAGTCTTTAAGCCTCACGGTGAATCATCCATGTGCTTTATTGACTCTTTGTTGAGCACTTAAAAAATCACACACACACATACACACTTATTTATTCAAAGACACGTTCAAGCGTCATATACAAGGATGGCAGCTACTCATTTGGCACTGGAGCACACAAAATAATTTGGTTTCCTTAAAAGATAGAGGCTCGAGACATCCATTACTCACCTTTCATAACACCCTGCAGTACTCATGTTAAGCCCGGGTCCTCACAGCCAACAGAGAAGGAGATTGGGGGGTTTGATATTTCACATGGCTTTCAGTCACACGAATAATCTGATGGTTGTGAGGCTGAAGAGAGAGCTGTGTGGCCTTGGAAAGGAAAAAAAAATCCAGCTGCATATTAAATGTGCTCAGGCGTTTCACGGCCTGTCAAATCAGGGTGCCGTTTGTGATGCGCGGAAGACACAGTGTCTCATTTCCTGCAAGACATGTGCACGTGCAGATGCCTGTGCATGTATGTGGACAAAAGTCTGGGCATGCACCACATAGACACACATCCTCGCACAGCAGCAGCAGCAGCAGGAACAGCAGTCAAGCCTGTTATCACTTGATTCCTCCCCCACGGTGAGTCCAAAAGACATCTCAATTTTCATCACGCTGGCAGAAGTTATAAAAGAGAATTATGAAGAAGAAGAAAAGGGAAAAAAAACAGGCTTTTGCGATCACTTGGATTCATCTTCACATATGTTAAATGCACTTTCACACACATGCACACAGGTGGCAGGCACACAAACACAAAGCCAAAGACGCGCTCGTCCGTTGCATGGTGAAAAAATACATTTATTGGAATCTGTGTCAATGTAGAAAAAATTGAAAACTGGCTTTAGGTTTTGTCACAGTACCACAGGTGAATATTCCAGCAGGCGCCTGGTGAGCCGAAACGAAGCCAGCTAGCTTGTTTGGGGCAGTACATCTGTTACTGATGGCGACAGAGAAGGTGGCCTATGGCGGCCAGTGATACCAAACACACCGTCTCACAGACACTGAAAAGCTCGGGCTGCTCCTAAAACACACCACCAGCAAATGCACACGTTGTACAGCAATTAACCTAGACCGATGTTCTCTCGGTTTAATGTGGGATGATTTTGTTGTGATACTGTTACAAATCCCTTTCCAATAACTATAAAGCCAGGGCCGCTGGCTGCTAGCATCCAAGGTGGCTCAAAGGAGCTTGTATTGTATGATCAATTGTGGGCCAATGTTTTATAACCCATAAGCTGAACCCATAACATCCCATTTTGTCCCAGTCCCTGGCAATAACTCCAATGGCCCTGTGCAAAGCTATGAGGTTCATGCATCATCTTTGATGTCTACCATTGCCTTCCTTTACTTGTTCAAAGCCTTGCCATTCAACCAGAAGGACTGTCACATTAATATTTTGCTTTCTTTCTCTGAATGTTTTTCCTTAATTCAGGTCTGTCTGAACAAGCACTTCTATTATAACGACACCGTAAGTGACAAATGCTATTCTGGCAGGCCAAACGTTATAATGGGTAGTGCATTTCTATTTCTGATATGACAGGATAAGTCTCACAACACACGGCGAGTCTGCATACTTTATGAAGTCGACAGAAAAAAAAAAAAAGGCATTTGAAAACAAAAAGGACATTTCTAAACTCAGATACTGAGCATTATAACACTGAGAGGTCAGTTTTTTTCCCCATACAACTTTCTTTTACATAGATTTATTTTATTCTTAAATATCTTAAATCTCATAAAAAATAATTCATCAGAAACCAATTCTATATACACGGACGAAAAGTGCACGAGATGGATAGAGAGGTGGTGCGCATGCTGAGGGGGTTTCGCTAGAGTGGGCTTTGCTGCGAGATTATGCTTTGGATGTTGTTGTTTTTTATGAAGTGTTGGCTTGTCTGATGAAATGTACGATTTGTTTTGTCTGGAGCATTGTATTAAATATTATCATTCATAAAACAAACAAGCGCTTCTAAATCAATACGGAGACTCTTTTGGCTTCTCTTTCGAGTGGCAATTCTTCAAAGAGAGTGTGACCTTCACGGTTTAAAAAAAACAAAAAAAAAGAAATGATCCACATTTCATCTGTAACCTCTCCTGACAAAAGCTGTCACCAAAGCAGCACATATGATTTTACTGACTGGACTCCTGAATAAATGTAAGAATAAAGGGATAGCTTATGCTTTATCTTATTTTCTGTAATACATATATTGTTACAATGTCAAAAGCAATCTTGAAACCTCTCTAAATGTTT